TCATTTTTTTTAGTCTAAAACCATCAAGAACTCTCTAGTTCCTATGAATTAAGTGCAAAACTCTAACTTAAGACCATGTACCTAGAACCCAATCTATATTTTAAAACTTTTAGGTTTACCTATTTATATTCTTGCCACCACTCAAAGTAGACCTTTCCCCAATGCAAAGTATACCTTTTATTCAAATTGTTTGCCCCGATTCGAGCACCTACTGCGATCATCTCTGCCTACTGACCCCTGGGCATCTTCTTAAAGTGCATCTCCAGGTTCCTGTCTCGCCTTTGCCACCCCTCCTACCTGGGTATGGTCTTCCCTACAGCGTTCACCTTGGCATTGCCCTCCAGGGTCACATACTAACGGCTACATGAAGCAAAACTTTCCTTTCCTGTTCTCTTCTTTGTTCCTTTGTTTTCAAACCCCCTCCCACCTCTAGACCTCTATGGCGTCTGTCGTTTACTAGAGTTCTATTGTTTGTTAATATAATTTCATTTCTCATCAAAATGTTTGCAGAGTGGTAAGAAAATGTGAAGAAATGGAAAATATTTCTAAAGAGCCAAAGGGAAAGCTCTTCACGAAGATTTTTTTATAGAGGCTCTCCCGTGCCTGTCCTCATCTCCTGAAACCCCACGTTTATCTGACTCCCCTTGCACCCCCCTCAAACATTCACGCGGCAACATAGGAACACCCTGGAGAAAACCAGCCCCAGTGCTCTCACTCCCTGGATCTACTTCCTTAAAAATCATTTCCCTAAGTCGGCATCACTTGGTTTGGAGTTCTGTAGACATCCCCAAGGCTCCAGCCAGAACAGCACTAGACTTTCAGGACCAGGGCAACAGAGTAAAATATGAAATTCTCTCTCTCTCTCTACCTCCCACAGAACAATCTCTGGAGTAGTAGCTTTGGGGTCCCAGATCTAGGGAAGGCCTAGGTCCTCTGGGTTGGTTTTCCTGGGTGGTGTTTCTGCTAGTTTGAATTGTAATAGCATCTTTTTTACTGTTTCTTCTTCTTTTTTCACCCTTAGATTGATTTTATCATGTGTGTACAACATACATCCCAAGGATAAACATTAATTCTCGGAGAATATGGGATCTAAACCTATACCGAGGAGAGGAAGAGAGGACACTTTAATTGTCACACAATTAGCATGAGGCCACCACGCAGCTCCCACAAGTCTACAAGTCATTCTATTTAGGCTGAGTCATGTTCTCCCGTGGACCAGCCAGAGCACTAATAATGGGGCTGCTTGACTCTTCAATGGCGGTTCTCTGATTTCCAGAAACGAGACTTAGATGTGCTCATTCTAGTAAGTACTCAATTAAATTTCTAGCCAAAGGATCTTTTCTCCCATAGTCTCCATCTTGGGAAAGGGAAAGGCTTATTCTCTTTGATATCCTGATTTTATACTAGAGTTTTTTTCCTGTTCTAATTCTTATTTCCCATTTAAATTATGAGCTGAGAGAAAACTGCTGTTTGGTTTTATTTAATGGAAAGAAAATAACCCTTACTGAGTGCCTGCTGACTGTCAGACACTTTCTGTGCATCATCATTTTAATCCTTACCATAACCCTGTGAGACAGATATCATGTTCACTATTAACAAATAAGGTAACATAGTTTCCGTGCTTGATAACAGTCAGTTGTTAGGGGAGCAGGACTTTGATTTGAAGTTTGTTTGATTACAAAGTTCATGGTTTGCTGTCAAGTTGCTGACTTTGAATTTTTAGTCTGATCAAATTTGGGTTTTGTAGTTTCTCCTCTTTTGTGTTTACTTATAAACAGAATTTTG